GGGGGGGTCAGAACAATCAATGTGCCTATACAATTGATACAGAGGATTTCTACTTACAGGTGACTTTAATAAGCAGAGGATTTTCTTTTATATTCCGTGAAAAATACACTAAATTTATATAAAATAATATCATGGTTGGCCAAAAAATTGTACGCACAGTGCCTCCGTGCGTATGCCTAGTTACGCCCATGCCAGTAGATCTCAATAATCTAGTTCAATGGCTCATCCAAGAAGGAAATTGCATTCCACGTTTCAGACTTCGGTTACTCGATGGAGAGGGGATTTAAGGCATATGAAGCTTTCAGTGGCTGATATGCATTATACTAAAAAGTGTTAGAGTTGAGAAATTTATTTAATAATTTAATACCACCCCTTCCTTTTATGCTCATTTGCATAATGATGCCTGATAGGAAAGTCCAACCATAATGCGAGATTCAATAAAGCGATGGTGGCAGGTATTATTTTTACGTTTTTATTTATTGAAGAGCAAAAGTTCTTTTTTTAATGTCTGCCTTTCTAAGTGTTCCCTCAATTCTTTTGAGCAGTCTATTTGATGACATTGCATGACTGTATACAACTTAAGTGCAGTGGTTGTAGGGGCGCCACCAGTGCTACTTAAACTGCACTGCATAATGAGGAACGATCAGTGGTATTGTTAAGTGATATCCAAGATATTCTGAGTTACGTAGCCTACTCTGTTAAACACTCCTTAATCAGCATGCTGTGTCGTCTTTGCAGAGCAGCGGGGAACCAATGAAGAGATACACATCGGTAAATTCTGAAACACAGCACCTCTCGGCACTGTGTTAAAACGGTAAGTTCTTTTTGACGTAAAAAAAAATCGAAATTTTTTGACATTAAAATAAATTGGATTAATCAATCCTAATTTTAAATCGTGCTCATATCTAATCGTTCTATTTTGCTGCGTGTGTGTGTGTGTGTGTGTGTGTGTTGTTGGTCTAACTGCTTGCTTGTTTGTGTATGTGTGTTGTTTGCTATGTCAATACCATTTATATCATGTACAACATAAGCCTATCGTTCGAAGAGATGGAAGTGGTACTCAGGGATATTCGTCCGCAAAAAATTGAAGATACTGAACATAAACTTGAAAAAAATGTCGTAGAAATTCATACGACAGACATCAAGAACTATTTTTTGTTGTTGTTTTAGTGATTTGAATACATGGTAATTTTAATTTGACTTCTTCAATGACTATTAACATACTTTCAGTGAATAATACAGAAAGGCGCGATTAATTAAGAGTCCTTGACGTGTGTAACAAAATGTTGAGTTCAATTAAACGCACGCGCGCGTTCGAACACACATACAAAAAGTATTATTTGTTTCGAACAACATATTGCATGTCTATATACAAAACGAACAGCGCATCAGTTATCAAATAAGTATTCCATCCGCTTTTTCGCAAATGAAGGCATATTAGATGATGTAACAATGCTGTTTAATGCCATTGTCCTATCTTTCTATTGCTTCCCTTATGACGGATATTCGATATGTAATGTACAACCTTTCAGCGATCATTTGCATGAACAAAGACTGAAAAGCCGTATCAAAGGACAATGTTCAAACATAAACCATTTAAGGAGGAATGGATACTATCATCAAGCAGTTAAACCACAATTGTTGGTTGGAATGAAAGCAGATATGTTTCACATATGGATGCCAATCTTTACTTGATCCTCTGTTCGTGTTGTTATTAAATATATCTTTACATAAGCATGGAAGTTTTTAAACTGCAAGGAAATTTTCCTGTGAAAAAAAAATTCGATAGGCAAGTATGTCAGTGGTTCGTTTCTCCGTTGCTTTCAAATTTTAATATCTGATAAGTGCTTGACAACGCATAAAAACAATGGGTGTCCCCGAATCAACACTGGGAAGATTTTTACCGGAAGTGACCGAAGAAAAGGCCTTATTCAACCAACTCCCCTTCATCCTGCAAGGAATGGCTTGCCTTGAAACCTTAAAACCTATTAGGGTTATATGATAGTCGACCTAAACGGTATTCACATCACATCATTCTTACTAATTTCTTACGTGTTCAAAAGCAGCTAGCATTAAAAAGTTTCATATTGGGCTATTGTTCTTGAAGCACCGTATGGCATTTATAGGAACCTTTGTAGTCATTACCAACGGCACCCACCACATTTTTGCACAATTGACATCAAACCAACAATTGCTGTTGAAACTCAGTGTCTTACCTGAAATGGAAGTAACATCAAAAGAAAGTCACGCGATAAACTTCGCAACACTTAAGAAAAAAAAACCATTCAAGGCTTGTTAAAGCAATTTTAATAGTTGCTTATAGATACATACATGTATATCTTGGTTTGGAAATAATTCGTAATTCAAACCTTGATTTTTTGTGCTTATGTGCTCATAGTAAGAACTTGACATGTTCAGTCATGCCTTTTTGTTAGACTATTTCATATTTGTCTATTCATGTTGTATGATTGTTCATTCAATTGGATCTACATATTGTATTCTCAAATTAGAACATCAACAGCAATTTCAATAGGCAGTGCACTTATTTCGCCCATTTAAGTATCGAGAGGGAGCACAAAATTGTCCAAAGGAAAAAAGTCGCCTATAAAGAATATGAGTGAATGTGAATGTGAGGTTCCTAAACTTTTGGAAACACACAACTACAGTGATCCCTGGACGTGAATAACGATGGTTTAATGTTGTTGTTTGTCTAAGAATAAAAAAAGAGAATAAGGAATAATCATGGTAATAATAGTGATAATGGATTTAAAACCCCGGTAATTCGAAAGGCCTTTAAGTGTTATTTTCCTATTTGCAAACACAGGTTTTGTTGCCTTGATATTTGAAGAGCAGGAAAACACGCTCATGCTCTAGAAATAGACGTAATAGATAAAGGCTGTCAAGAATCTGAATGGATATAATTGATTTAGTTAATTCAGTTGATAGATGCACAAGTAGGCTCTATAGGTAGTTACGTATTCCTATTGTGTCTGGTTTCTTATAGTTTTCAGGGTTTCTTCTCTATGTATCTGCTTCTACACATATGTAACTGAGTATATAAATGACAAATGAAATTTGTTAAAACACAATTCTGTATGCATAATTGCTGTTTATAGTATATGTGTACAAGCACAATTTCGACAGTGTCGAAAATTTTTTTATTCTATTTGGGAGTTCCTATTTCGTGCAAAAGTAACTTCCGATTTTTTTAGCACAATAGAGATCTTTCATTTTCCGGAATACAAATTCTTTCTTAAAGATTCCCTTCGCACATAAAGATGTATTTGTATGCCCACATGTAAGTCTCTTTATACTGACGGAATTTTTTTGAGATTTGTAAACCTGTATTTCATTTCAAATACTTATGGAACATTTACATCTGTCGTACTGCTCCCTCTGCATACTTTATCTGTCTTGTTTTAAGTTACATGAGAAATGTGATATGCATTTTAGAATCCATGGAAAACATGCGGGGGAATGGTACATTTCAACTGAATGGCTCGGCACTGTTGCCTTATGAACATCCGTTCTGGTCTACTTATCCTCCGCCACCTCGTGAAGTCAATGTCATAGTGGGGACATTTGTGTTAGCAGTATCTCTCATCACCATAGCTGGCAATTCGTTCGTTATTGGTTTCTTCTGTAGGTGAGTACTACACATTTTAATGGTAAAACTGACACTTATTTTTGTTTACATAGCAGTCCCTCACCAAGTCGGTGGACCCAAGTCTATTGGTTCTAGATTTCTGTTTTTACCGCCACCTATCAATTCACCTTTTTCTTTCTGCATTATAACTCAAGAATTTAAATATCAGATCTCGAAAACGAAGGCAACAGAAGGGAATTTTTCAGCGGTTTTGGATGTGACAGCCAGACCTCGGTGATTAGGGGAACAAGTGTTAGAATTTCCAGGAAAATTAACTTTCTACTATTCTACTACTTAGGGTCTCACACTCACTGTGCCTTAAACGGAGTGCACAGTGTTGTCCATTTTGTATTTGGAGTTGAAACACAGTTGGTACAGGGGGGTTACACTGTATGTAACATCGGAAACCCCGGTTTGTGAGTCAGTAGTTAAGATCCCAGCAGTTCCAAAACCACTAACGATAGCTTGTAAAAATGTAATCGACAATGAAAAAGTAAGTCCAAATTATCCAGTATCGCGTCTGTTCTTTTATTTATCTTCCGTATAATGTAAAAATTCTATCAAACTGCTCGAACAGATCACCTAGTATCCCCAGATAGGCCTACCTGTTAAGAGATTTTACTCCACACACATTTGTAAGGTCAAGTTCGCGTTTTAGCGTAATTTGTTCAAAAAGAAAGGGATCAGACAAACTTCCCGAAATATTTCAATACTAAAAAGACACGCCAGGAATTTAATCGATAAGATGCCAAGATGCCGCATGTAAATGTACTGAATATGATTTTGCGGGTTATCAAGGAAATGCACCTAACACACTTATTTCAAAGTGTAATGCCTATCCATTTTCTTGTTTTAAGTGGGAATATATCGAATAATGATGAACCTTTCAGAAGACCCGTCACTGTATTGTTAAAAAGCCTGGGTGATGTTGTTATCTGAAACAATGATGCCTTGATTTCAAGCATTATGATTGCATTTGGGAATTGATTTTTTATCTTCATAGTTCCACTTAATCGTTATTTATTTAAATGTGTATGCTGTGAGAGTTAGAGTAGCACTTTTGAAATGATATACTAACTTTTGGTATAACTGTTATTTGAACAATTTATGCAGCAATCGCCTTGATCGGCTATAAGATTTGAAAAAAATCCTGGCTATTCCGATGGTAGTTATAGAAAGAGAACATGTGCATTTTTTAATTTTATACGGCGAAATGCTGTTATCTTACAACTTGCTTTAGTAACAACAAAAAATCCTATATCTAAAATGTTCTCTTTTTTTTTTTTTTGCTATTTTAGGTGTAAATCCCTTAGGACTCCAGCTAACTTTCTTCTTATGAATCTGTCTTTAAGTAACGTTTTGATGTCTGTGTCTGTTCCAATGGTTACAGTAGCTTCTTATCTTGGCGAATGGCCATTTGGAGAAATAGGTGAGTTTTTTCTATCTCGAATGCAACTTTCCCTCCCAGGATATATTTTGTCAAAGACAGAGGGTACAGCATGAGAATGTAAAATGAGATTCCAATGTCTCAAATAATAGTTTTGTAAGTGTATTTTGGATTCATTACGTAATTCTTCTGTTACAAACTTGCATTTAGCTAATTTTTTACGAAAAGTACATTTCTACTGTCATTTTTATAATTTTTTGGCTTGGTTATCCAAATAATACACTGTACAGCGACACTAAAACCTCGCAAAGTTTATATATCACATTGCTTTGCTTAACCTAAGGACGCCATATAGGTACACATCATCAATACTATTGTCCTCAGTTACTTAAATCACTGGTCTTTTCAGGTTGTAACCTACACGCTGTGATGATGGGAGGGTTCGGACTGATGACTATTAATACAATGGCAGCAATCGCGGTGGAGAAACACCACAGTATAGTGAAGTCCCAGACTGTCGTCAGTCGCGTGTCATGGCGTTTGGCACTTAAGTATCTCGCAATAGTTTGGGTAAACTCAATCATCTGGGTCCTACCACCTTTATTCGGCTGGGGTCGATATATTTTAGAAGGACTGGGAACAGCTTGTTGCTTTGACTACATAACGGAGACAATTACAAACAGAGCCTTTGTTGTTACGTTATTTGCAGCGGGATTTATCTGTCCTCTCTCTGTTATCGTGGTTTGTTATATCTGGATCTTTGCTCACGTTCACAACAATTCTCATGCCATGAAAACGTATAGGATGTCTTCTCAACGGAAGAAACGAATTTCAAGATCTGAGCTGAAAATAGTGAAAATGATTTTAGTGGTGTTGATGATATATATCGGAGCTTGGACGCCTTACGCGGTTGTTTCTCTTATGGGAATATTTGGAAAGGCTAATCAGCTGGATCGCGTAACCTCCACTATTCCTGCCATGGTGGCCAAGGCATCTGCAATTTACAACCCCTTGGTTTATATTCACTACCACCGGAGATTTCGTGGAGAGCTGAGGAGAAGAGGAATATTCCCTTGTAGTTCAGCGTCACATAGTTCGGCGCAAAATTCGTCCTATGGCTCTAAAAGTGACTCAAAAAGCTGGATTAGACAGTCTGCTTTGGCAAAACAAACTTCCGCTCATCACTATGTTTAGTATGCAGATAAATCATTCATCGCCTGTTAATTCAGATTGTTTGTTTTATAAGTCACATCTATTTGATATGGTAAACATTGTGTTTAAATAAACAATTTCTTCAATGACCTGGAAGTGAGTTATGTTCGAATACTTTTCAAAAGTTTTGTTAAGTGAAGCTATTCAAATCTTAACGTGGCAGATGTAAATACAGTGCGCAAGGCGTGAGCCTTCATGATAAAAAAATACAACATGAATAGTATATACAGAAATTGCAGCGGGTAGGACATAAACTTTAAAGAGAGATTAGGGGAGACCGGGGCTAATTGGCCCAGTTAGACACTTTTGGCCTTGTAGAGCCAACTAGGAGTGGGTTAGAGTAACAAAACCGGTTTCAAAGTAAGCCCCATGAACTAAGCTACGTATGCAACGTCATTATTTTTCAAATATAATGCCAGGTGGCTCACAATTTGACAAAAAAAACGCAGTTGACGTCAGGGGGGTCAACTTGCCCCGCCATGGGGCAAGTTGGCCCCAGGGTCGGGGCAAGTTGGCCCCCCTATACGAAAATGAAGTATATATCCCATTTAAACGCCTTGAAATACATTTTTATGAATTTCTAATTTATTCAATTGATTTTTGAGAGTCTTTGATGAATAAACAGTTCAAATGAGGCAGATTTATTGAGGTTTCCGTATGTCACGTTGTTGGGGGGTATGTGTTGCAAGAACCAAAATATCTATCAATAAAATGTGTTTTGTTTTAATTAAGAATAAATAAATAACGGTATAAAGAAGGTTTTTAATGAATGAAAACAAATAATAAATGTTCTTTTTAAAAGAAAGTAACAAATTCAGTTTTAAACCATTGAGTTTGTTTCAACAATGGTCTCTAGCTAGGGAGGGGTAGAAAATCCCCTTGGGGCCACATATAACATTATAAATACAAAGGGAATCCCCTTACAATGAATTAAGGCAAAATAAATGTTTTTCTACGGAAAGTCCAATGGATTTGCTTTTTAATACTTACAATCAACAGAATATTTCTAATATAAATTTTCAAAAAGACACCAGAGAGAAAATTCTAAAAAATCAATCAGACGGTAATAGACACCGGCAAGCTTTGTCAATTTCACCAACTTGTTTATTTCAAACAGCGTTGCGCGCAAAGGTTTGTGGGTAATATGAGGGTCCAACTTGCCCCGAGTCAAGGGGGCCAACTAGCCCCGGGTGCACATTATTTATTTTAAAGGATGGTAGCCATTTATGGTGCTAGAATGAGCAACGATGATACATCTCTGTGAAACTTAAAACGATTAGCTTCAGTTTGATGCCCTATACATATCTTATATTCGATCAAAAGCCTATGACAATAGATTTTGAAATCTCTTAAACAAAATTACTTTTAGGTGCAAAAATCGTTTATTTCGACTCACCGCTTTAGTAAAACTTTTTAACGTCTTATACTTCCTTAGCATTGTAGGCTACGGTCACTTTGCAAGAGTATGTGGCCAATTTTTTTACCTCGTAGTTACTTTTTCATAAATTGACGGGGGGCCAACTTACCCCGGGGTCCAACTAGCCCCGGTCTCCCCTATGCTTCAAGCGCATACGTTATGCAAAAAGTGATAAATTTATCAACAAATGAAAACATTGCAAAGGTAAAGTTGATTAGAAGAGACGGGTTTAAAAGTGTAAGGGAATTCCTCGAAAACGAAATAAAGCCTTAGCCCTATATTGTTTTTCAGTCTTTGCCGTCAAGAAGGCCTACTTTTAACCTTTTATATATTTCTGCTGCTCTTATCAATACTTTTTTCAAGAGACATCGTACCAAACCAAATAACTGCGTAAAAAGTAAAAACACTATCTTTACATCTTGGTGAATTAGTACCAGTCATAACTTTGTTTTCTTTTAGCTATTCTGTTTTCTATGTTTTTGTCATGGTTTCTTTTAAAGCGCCTCTCACTTGTAACCTGATCTGATGCAGAAAGGTTAATGTGTATAAGTCATGACATTTGTCTGAAGCACTGGGTAATCATCGAGGATATGTCCTCACGGTTACACGTGTCGAAGAGTAGACCACTTTGTTAACGCCTTGCTTTAGTTTTTGCTGCAGAAGAGCCTACGTGTAGCTTGTCATCCTGTAATGGCATTTATCACTGGCACACATTGTTCATCTGTCGCTTGTGATGAATCGTCAACCAAGATGTGTTAAATCCTTGCCTTGGACCTACTTGTTAACTTAAACCAACGACTGGGCTTTGTACGTCATTCCTTATTTTATGTTTTTATTTTTTATTTATTTATTTATTTATTTATTTATTTATTTATTTATTTTGCATTGCCCAGAGACAATAGCCAATAATACTATGAAGCAATATGGGTTTTTTTATATAAAGAAAATATTTTAGTATTTCAATTTAAATCAAGTGTCCTAACGTGTCTCAAATCCTCATGAAAATGAAATATAATGGTTTTGGGCAGACACTTTATGTATCTAGACATAAAGCCAACACATGCCTGTGTCGTCCCCGTGCATTTTCCTCGATAACACAGAAAAAAATGTAAAATTGTTTACTTATCATTTTAAAACTTACTGGAACGATCATCAGAACTAAGATTCTATGACTTTCTTCTTGAAATCATTTAGTTTCTAGTGATTTATTCAATTTCCGAGAATTTGCGTATTCAAGGTGGGACTTGAAGTCCCTTGGGTATGAAAACGTATGTAAACATGTTCTAAATGTCTACAGTTAAAGTACAGAAAAATGGTGGTGTCAGGCATTATATAATAATGCATCAGGTTGACAAAAACATATTTTGTGCACTGGTATCGTGAATACAATGTACCATCAAAGGAAAACCATGCTACTTAATACAATTATTTACGGGAATGATTCTCAGGACTAAAATGCCGCTCGAGTTCAAAAATCAACCTGATGAGATTTTCCTTTGTTTCAACATTTCTTTCATTAGTTTTGGCCTATTTTCAGGAAAAGCATGGGAATGGGAGGCTAGAAACGGATAAAAGTATTACTGTGTTCTGTCAACCTTTTATATTTACAGTGTAAAAAGGTTAACTGTCCATATATCAGCTTTTATTCTGGTTTGTTGTTTCTAGCAAATGGTGGGTTGTCACGTCAACGAAGAATCACTGAACGCCATTTATCATTATTTGTTTGTCTGATATTATGAACACGTTGTCTCAAATGTGTAACGCACGTACAGAAAGGAAGTGACATATCAGTATAGCGTGTTGAGAACAACTAAGATGTTCAAATGAAAAAAGAAATGTATTCAACAAACACCAAATTTACGTAAACATAATAAGAGTGGTTTAAAGGATTTAAAAAGGACCTATAAATGGACTACTGCTCGTGCCACTTTAGACCTCACGTGTTTATTAGAATTCCTTAAATTGTACAGGAGCTGGCGTTTCAAACTGTGATCAATCATCAAATATTTTAACGTGATAAAGTTTATTCTCTTATTTGTTCAGATTGTTAAAACTTCTACAAATATAGTAGAGAGATGTTCTCAAAGTCTTCAAAACCCTTCGTACGGCATTCGGTATTTCTGGTTATAACATATTGTGTGTCACGCTGACAATTTTCCCTGCAAGTCGAAAGAGCTCAATAGCACAGAATTAAGGACAGGCTTATATTGGTCAGATCCGTCTGAATTATATTTGAATCTTTCAAGTAACCCTAACTGAGTTTTGCTCTTGTCCAAAGCAATGGCATATTTCTATGGTCACTTGATATATGCTCTAATTATGTAAGCACCCTTTTGCAAATGTCAGATATAGCATATATTTCCAGTGAAACGTGTTATTCCAAATCCAAGAATGCTTTCTGAGATGCAAGCCAACAATTGGTGATTTGAAAATAGCTATTACACTCAGCCAAGTGCACTGCTGGGACTAAAACATTCAAGGTTGTCTTCTGGGCAACAGCTATACACATATAACGGTTTAAAAAAGCAACGTGTATAGCACATTTGCATTGCTGAGCTGTAATAGTGATACAGTCTATAATATCTTAACAAGTCATGTTCTTTTGCTAAAACTTAAACTGTTTGGCCCGGTTTTGGTCAAATTATACAAAATATGAGTAAATACAAGGCAAAGTTTACTTATCTTTGTCTAAATGGCGAATTTATCTTATCGAATTCTTTAAATAGGTATCCTACAGTATGCATTAAATTAAGTAGGCCTATACATTCACGATATTGATTGATCTGCAAGATTTACATCAAAATACAACTGGTTTTCAATGGTCTTTGGTGCGTGTCCATTCTCTTGGTCATAATCTTTGCCAATTTGCAGATTTAAGTGAGGTTCATTTAATCCACCGTACACCCTTCCATTATTTTCGTAGTCGTCACCCTCTTTGCTGTAATGCACAATTGGCTCTTCTTTGCTGTAAAACACAAGTCTACTTCTAATAACGATGATCACGATTACTAGAACGAGTATCACAAATAGCAAAGTGCCCATTACGATTCCAACTATGGCAGGAACAGGAACGTCCAGGGCCTGACCCACATTTTCTTCAGTCCTACGAGCACCTGGTTTGATGACTATGTGAACGGGTGCCTTTGTGGAGCGATGTGTTTTGTCTGAATTGAAAAAAAGGTCATATTTCAATGAAAATTATTCGATTTCCAAAATGAGTAAGATACACAGAAATATATAAATATACATGTATCATCGATATCGGTTTGTTATTTGTACACAGACCTGGGCTACGTATCTCGAAAGGTTCGCTATGTTGCGCACGTGCGCAAGTGTCTCGATTCCATAACCGATTCTATCGAGATACGGGGCCATGGAATCGAGACGCTTGCGCACGTGCGCAACATAGCGAACCTTTCGAGATACGGAGCCCTGATGCGCTGATGAAATGTGTTGCGGTCAAGGTGATCCAAATGAGGGGGCTGTAAATCAACAAAAAATGTTCTACTGTATATCACTAAAAGACAATTCTGTTTTATATGCATATATGATATCCCTCCACTTGTTTGTTCTTCTCTTATTTGCTTTACTTAAATTTGATTTAATTGCGATATTTTGGCACATTGGACAAACCTGCGCTGCTTGTTAATGTGGGCGAAGCCACTTGTGTTGAATTGGTTTTTACCAGAGTCTCCTTAGGTGTGGTAGTTGGAACATCTACTGTAGGTGTCACTTTCCCTGTAACATATAAAAAATTCTTCCTTTTTTAGAAGAAATAAGACTACCTTACATATACAATCCAAACCAACACAAAGCTGATCGACAATGTCACGCAAAGAATGCATGTCTATTGCATAAAGCTGACAAAAGAAGTAATCTTATACATGTTTTGATGAATTTTTGCGATGGAATACTTACCAATACATACTGGAGAACTACACCGACATCCCAAAAAGACAATGTCGTCAATTGAAACAGCCTTTCCGTGTAAAAATACGTCTGGTAATGTCGTTTCTATTGTTACCTAGAGATAACATAACGTGCAAATAATAGCTTGAACAAAAAGGCTTATCATAAGTGTTCTGTATAAAACAAGATAGGATCTTAAAATAATCAAACAGTGAAACAGTGATGACAGATTGTACACAACGTTAACTTGAAACCATCACTGTAAATGGTTTCTTTAGAGTGTTAATTGGACACCCATGTTAATCACCTAGCTTTAAGGCATCTTTATATATGTATATTTGATGAAGGGCAATCACTGTGATGATTCCAAGTTGCAAGCGTTGTTTTTCAGAAATTGTAATTTTACAAATACGATATTGTGGGACAAATAAAATCTTGTCAACGGTATTAATGTTTTCAGTGTTATTATATAATTGATTTCAAACTGTTCAGTTTGATTCGACAGTAGGTATGATGTTCAATCAAGTGAATGAATGAAATGCATATTGCGGTTGGAATTTAGGAACCGCATTAGCTAGAATTAGTGACCTGGGTGAGTTCAATTATAGTAATGTTCGTCTCACACATTTAAATCTATTAATATAAATACAATGTCACATATAACGTATAGTGCTACCGTTTGAGAAAAAGTGCCCATGTGATGACAAGAGGTTCGATAAACTTAACGTCGTATACCGACGTCTCGAGTACGCAAGCAAGCGTTGGTGGGAGAGAAATAAAATGTTTTGAGCACGTTCATAAACAATTCCATGCTATGCTAATATCTTCAACACGCTGGAAACAGTGTGAATTCATACACTCTATGTTGTGCGTATTATCGATGACACATACGATACTCATACGTACTTCTTTACGCTAGGTGTGACAGAGTCTTAAAGCAAGTCTTGCATAACTTGCAAAGTTTAATTGCTCACTAACTGCACACTGCTCTATATTCTTATCTAATTGACAACTCAATCAAACTTAATCAAAATGTTTTGATATTTATGAGATAATTACTTACACAATTCTAACTTAAATGATAAAAAATACTGCATCAATACTTCAGTGGAAAAAAAACGTACCGTAAAATCTCCTAAACTGGAATATTGACTAATGTCGATCGCATTAGAACTTTTCCACGTATCGAAACGAGTCGAGGTAGAAGACCAAACTTGGTACACCTGTCCTACCGGAATTGTTGTTAATGATACTGACAATTGAACTCCGTCGGCGTTATTGAAGTAATAGTAGAATTTCATGTAACATGGGCCAGTGGTTCCTGATATAGCCGGTGACTGAATGGTTGTCCTTTCACTGTTTGGCATGCCGTTTGCCCAGTAAGCATACATAAACTGGCCCTGTGATCCTGCAAAGTGTTCAATATAAAATAATGCACAAAAGGTCATCTAAATTGGTTAAGAAAAGGCTTCATTATACTGAAAATTGATCAAATTCGTGTTTTCATTCGACGACCTTTAATGAAATAGAAAAAGATAAATACAATGTAAAGTGTATTTTAAGATCTGTTCAGCAACTGTCTCTCTCTCTATGTGTCACGAGTTAAAGGATATCTTTCCTACAATTCGACATGCAAACATTTTTTAAATGTTAAATGTAAGGCCAAAATGCCTGTAGGAAAATATGGAACGGCGCCCTTAGGCATTTCTCGATGTTATACTAATTGAACCTATATGGTGGCATTTGGTTGAGTTTTGTGAGGAAATTCTGACTTCAAGTGCATCTTTAATGACTGAATTCCTGCAATGAATGAACACTTTTAACATAGAAGTGGCGAAACACTGAGAAGATAAAAGATCCTGCGTTTTTTACGAAGTTGATTTTGTCAACATATCATTTTTGATATTTATCTTCACAACTGATTTGTATACATTGATATTTATAACAAAATCGACGAAGCTTTAGGTATTTCTTTTCTTATAACATATATGACCAACTTTTTATAACAATTTCCCTCAAGCGTTTTTTTTTTTTTCTTGTTCTAAGAAAATGCTTTCTGAACAGACTAAAAGATTAATCGCACTTGATGAGAAACCATACAAGACAAACGCGACGTGGTCTTCAGGGAGACAGAGTGCAAAACGTATATGGAAGGAAAGATCAGATGGCAGTCGCAAAGTCATTCAACTGAAAGGTGACATTTCATACATGGTGCAAAAACAGACAGCATCCCTAGGGACTGAATTTTCAAATAGCATGCCGCAAAATTTCTTAGGTAACTGTAGGCTACTGTGCAAACATTACGTAAACACGGATTCTAAACATGGCTGCTTGCATCAGTTTATGTGATGACAAATGGAAACCTCGATGAGGAATGGTTTTCTTTCACTGAAAGAGGCAATACTTTCTTTCATCGCTGATAATAATAATAATAATAATAATACAAAATTACAGGCCACTTCGCCATACCTACAACACTCCCAACTGTGTGGTCATAGTTAGGCATGCCTTTATTAGCACCGGTCCTCTGCCACTTGTAATTTGCACTGGACCATGCCACTGAATAACCACAATCAAAGCCATCGAATGTACATGGAGCCCCCAATCCTAAATCTAAAAAAAGTACAAACACGTGTTGTTAGGCACGTTTGAAGCAATATCGGTTTTTCGTTTCAGTCATAAGTGAGATATTGGTTTACTTGCCGACGGGAATAACAAAGAATGGTATTTGCACTGGAAGGCGCGTGTCTTCGATTAGTGAACTATAATCTCTGTTTGTGACTTTGAACAATGTCTCCGATTATCAGACGTGTGTTCGATTATTAAAATGTGAATATCGATAATATTTTAATGTTGTCAAGAATACATAAAGAATAACAGTGACATCGTACCTGGCTCTGATACTACGGGCACAGCAGATGTGACTGTCGTGGACACTGAAGAGCTTGGGGAGGGCGTGTTGATCACTGCTGGTACTGGAACATATGTAAGCTTTACCAATTAAGTACCAAATGAGAAACTTATTCCTTTTTTCAATTTTTGAGGAAAAACAGAACAAGATACACAAAGTAAGCTTGATAGCCCCAAACTGTGGTAAAAGCAAAAACTATCAAATATGAATTTATGTACGTGAACATTTAAATACTCAGTTTCAGTGTTTGTTTTTATTTATTTATTTATTTATTTATTTATTTATTTACTGTCTTGTTGTTACCTGTGCAGGGTGGAGTAGAACAATCGCATCCGTAGAAAAGTACGTCATCAACAGAAGCGACCTTGCCAAAGGCAAAACCTGGTTTCATTTGTGCCCGAATCTGGACCTATTAAGACAAAAATAAAGACTTCTAAACTAAGATAAATTACTTTAAGGAGTTTAACGATTTGCAACAGGGCAAGGCAAGACTTATCCTCTTTTGAAGTGTTTTTTTTTTACTCAAAGATATATATATATATATATATATATATATATATATATATATATATATATATATATATATCTTTGAGTAAAAAAAAACATATATATATATATATATATATATATATATATATATATATATATATATATATATATATATATATATATATATATTTTTATCGCTCAAAGATATAACAAATATCTGTCAGCTTAAAATTTTTTTCTAAGAGAGGAATGCCCTTGGGATTGTATAGATCAGCATTTTATTGAATTATAATGACGATTTTAGTCAGTTAAACCTGAACTTGGATGCATTTTAATAAGCCCCATAAGCATGTATTTGACAACAAAAAAATCGACTGAGTAGCTGAGTACCTGGAATCGTCCCCCAGAAGAGAACTGACTAAGATCTAAAACACCACTCGACTCCCAACCATTGGTGGCTCCATTGCCTGGTTTGTACCAAATCCTGTTTTGTTGAACTAGATTCAAAGTTAGTACATACACAGCCAAACTTATGTCGTCACTGTTGAAATAGTAGAAGAACGACATGGAACAAGGTCGATTTGTCTGAGATACTACCGGTGACGTCATACTTGTGGTTTGTTGGCCGGATGTTCCCCTCGACCACTTTGCCATCATGAATTGTCCTTTAGAACCTGGAGTACAAAAGGGTGAAAGTTTCTTGAGTGTTAGCAATGTGCCAATGTGCCAAGAAATGTCATACTAAAACTCATAACTTTAAAATAATTACAGCTTAAAACAAAGGGAATTCGTCACAAAGAACGAAGAAATAAGTTGTGTATGAGGGGTAACAAGGTTTCAAGAGTATAAACAATCTAAATTTTTTGTGAAATGAGGTATAACAAACCTTCCCTATATGTTGACATTTCTGCAACTATTTGCAAATAACTGACAATCGTCCTTACCAAAAACTCTCCCTATGGTATGATCTTCTGTTGGGAGACCTTTATTCATACCGACCATCAGCCACTTGAAACTGTCTGGCATGTCCGCAGTGACGGTGTAATCGCACATGGCTCCATCGAATGTACATGGAGCTCCAAACCCTGGGAATCAAGATAATTATGGAATCAATACAAAAAATAGGGAAATATTTTCCATGTTGTATGGTATATTTCAAATGACGTAGTTGAATCTTCTCATACATCAAATAACATTTACAGTATAATGAACTTTACCATGAAAGCACTAATATAGGTAATTGTCTTTTTGCCATTGCGATATAAATATAAAAGAAGACCATCTCACCTTTTACCGCAGGAGTTGCCGCTGTCGATGAAGTGATACGCTGCACCGTTGATGGAGTCGTTGATGGAGTCAGTGTTGGCGGGGTGGTAGATGATGAAAAAGTGCCAGTTAATGGACCTAGTACGAGACAAGATGTGTTTGTACGCGTAAATGCCTGTAGCTAAACCAAATAATCCATCATGCTGTATCCTCCAAAGGGAGGTGAGATCGTCAATTCAGATTGGAATGACGAGGTGTCTAACTATTTGTTACATATGTAATGCGGTGGAATACTTACCTAAACATACTAGAGAATTACACCGACATCCCAAAAAGACAATGTCGTCAATTGAAACAGCCTCTCCGTGTAAAAATATGTCTGGTAATGTCGTTTCTATTGTTACCTAGAGATAATATAACGTGCAAATAATAGCTTGAACAAAAAGGCTTGTTCTGTATAAAACAAGATGGGATCTTAAAACAAGCAAACGGTGATGATAAATCTTGCACAACGTTAACTTGAAACCATCACTGTAAATGTTTTTAGACTGTTGGACACCCATAGTAATCACCTAGCATTAAGGTGTCTTTACGCCAGCTTGATGAAGGGCAATCACTTTGGCTCAAAGCCAATGATGTGCAAACGTTGATTTTCAGAAATTGTAATTTCACAAATAATAAATTGTAGGACAAATAAAATCTTGTCAGTGGTATTATTGTTATGAACCATATAACTGATTTCAAACTGTTCAGTTTGATTCGACAATAGGAATGAAGTTCAATCAAGTGAATAAATGAAATGCATGTTGCAGTAGGAAATTATGAACCAAATTAGCTGGAATAAGTGAACTGGGTGAGTTTAATTATAGTAAGGTTCGTCTCACACATTTAAATATATTAACGTAAATGCAATGTCACACATAGCGTATAGTGCTACCGTTTGGGAAAAATTGCCCATGCGATGACAAGAGGTTCGATTAACTTAACGTCGTACACGTCTCGAGTACGCAAGCAAGCGATGGTCGGAGAGCAATCAAATGTTTTGAGCACGTTCATAAAGAATTCCATACCTTGCTTATATCTTCGTTTCAGTACGCTGGAAACAGTGTGAATTCTTACACTCAATGTTGTGCGTATTATCGACGTCACATACGATACTGGATCGTACCTCTTTACGCTAGATGTGACAGTCCTAAAGCAAGTCTTGCATACAGGTTACTTGCAAGGTTTAATTGCGCACTAAATGACGACACAATGATGTCCATTCTTATCTAAGGCCCCATTCAGAACAGGGTCAAATATGGCAACCCTCTACAAAGCTTGCCGTCTTATACACTAATAGTCACTGAAAAGATAGCTCATGGGGAAATATTCAAGTGGGTCGGCCATATTTGGTCCTCGGACTAGTTAGTCCCATATTCTGAATGGGGCTTTATGGACGACTCAATCAAACTTAATCAAAATGTTTTGATATTTATGAGAAGATTACTTACATAATTCTAAATAAAATGATAACAATACTACATCAATACTTCAGTGGAAAAAACGTACCGTAAAATCTCCTAAACTGGAATACTGACTAATGTCGATCGCATTAGAACTTTTCCACGTATCGAAACGAGTCGAGGTAGAAGACCAAACTTGGTACACCTGTCCTACCGGGATTGTGCTTAATGATACTGACAGTTGAACTCCGTCGGCGTTATTGAAGTAATAGTAGAATTTCATATAACATGGGCCAGTGGTTCTTGATATAGTCGGTGACTGAATGGTTGTCCTTTCACTGTTTGGCATGCCGTTTGCCCAGTAAGCATACATAAACTGGCCCTGTGATCCTGCAAAGTGTTCAATATAAAATGATGCACATTAAGTTCTCTAAATTGGTTAAGAAAAGGCTTCATTGGACTGAAAATTGATCATTCGATGGGCTTCGAAAAAAAAGATAAATACAATGTATTTAAAGATCTGTTCAGCACAACTGTCTATGTGTCACGAGTTAAAGGATATCCTTCCTATGATTTGATATGCGAAGAATTTCTTTTTCAATTTTTCTGTATGGGACAAAATGTTAGGCAAAATCTGCCTGTATAGGAAAATATGGAATGATGTCCTTCAGTATTTCTCGATGTTATACTAATTGAAACCATATGAAGTTTTGTGAGGAAAATCTGACTTCAAATGCATCTTTAATGACTGAATTCATGCAATGAATGAACTCTTGTAACATAGAAATGGCAAGACATCGAAAAGAAAAAAAAGGATTTTTACGAAGTTGATTTTGTCAATATTATTATTTATCTTCACAACTGACTTGTCTACATTGATAATTATAAGAAAATTGACGAAGTTTCAGGTTTTTCTTTTCTTATAACATATATGACAAATTTTTATAAAAATTTCCCTCAAACGGTTTTTTTTTTCCTAAGGAAATGCTGTCTGGACAGACTAAAAGATTAATCACACTTGATGAGAAACCACAAAAGACAAGCGTGACGTGGTCTTCAGGGAGACAGAGTGCAAAACGTATATGGAAAGAAAGATCAGATGGCAGTCACAAAGTCATTCAACTGAAAGGTGACATTTCATACATGGTGCAAATACAGACAGCGTCCCTAGGGACTGACTTTTCGAACAGCATGGCAAAAAGCATACCGCAAATTTTTTTAGGTAACTGTTCTGTGCAAACATTACGTAAACACGGATTCTAAACATGGCTGCTTGCATCAGTTTATGTGATAACAAATGGAAACCTCGATGAGAAATGGTTTTCTTTCACTGAAATAGAGAATACCTTCTTTTATCGCTGATAAGCATAATAATAATAATAATGATAATAATAATACAAAATTACAGGCCACTTCGCCATACCTACAACACTCCCCACTGTGTGGTCATAGTTAGGCATGCCTTTATTAGCACCGGTCCTCTGCCACTTGTAATTTGCACTGGACCATGCCACTGAATAACCACAATCAAAGCCATCGAATGTACATGGAGCCCCCAATCCTAAATCTAAAATAAAGTACAAACACGTGTTGTTAGGCACGTTTGTAGGCATCGGTTTTTCGTTTCAGTCATAAGTGAGATATTGGTTTACTTGCCGACGGGAATAACAAAGAATGGTATTTGCACTGGAGGACACGTGTCTTCGATTATTAAACTGTAATTTCTGAACAATGTCCCCGATTTTCAGACGTGTGTTTGATTATTAAAGTGTAAATGTCGATAATATTTTAATGTTGTCAGGGGACACATATAGCATAACAGTGACATCGTACCTGGCTCTGATACTACGGGCACAGCAGATGTGACGGTCGTGGACACTGAAGAGCTTGGGGAGGGCGTGTTAATCACTGCTGGTACTGGAACATACGTAAGCTTTACCAATTAAGTACCAAATGAGAAACGTTTTTCAATTTTTGAGGGTAAACAGAACAACATACACAAAGTAAGCTTGATAGCCCCGAACTGTGGTAAAAGCAAAAAGTATCAAATATGAATTCATGTACGTAAACATTTGAATACTCAGTTTCTTTGTTTTTATTTATTTATTTATTTATTTATTTGTCTTGTTGTTACCTGTGCAGGGTGGAGTAGAACAATCGCATCCGGAGAAAAATACGTCATCAACAGAGACGATCTTGCCAAAGGTAAAACCTGGTTTCATTTGTGCTCGAATCCGGACCTATTAAGACAAAAAATAAAGACTTCTAAACTTAGATAAAATACTTTAAGGAGCTTAACGAATTGCAGCAGGACAAGACAAGACTTATCATCTTTTGAAGTGTTTTTTTTTTACTCAAAGATATTACAAAACCTGTCAGCTTAAAATTTTGTTCTTCCAGAGGAATGCCCTTGGGATTGTATAGATCAGCATTTTATTGAATAATAATGAATTTTTTAGTCAGTTTAATCTGAACTTGGATGCATTTTAATAAGCCCTATAAGCATGCATTTGACAAAAAAAAAAAAAAAAAAAAACCGGCTGAGTAGCTGAGTACCTGGAATCGTCCCCCAGAAGAGAACTGACTAAGATCTAAAACACCACTCGACTCCCAACCATTGGTGGCTCCATTGCCTGGTTTGTACCAAATCCTGTTTGGTTGAACTAGATTCAAAGTTAGTACATACACAGCCAAACTTATGTCGTCACTGTTGAAATAGTAGAAGAACGACATGGAACAAGGTCGATTTGTCTGAGATACTACCGGTGACGTCATACTTGTGGTTTGTTGGCCGGATGTTCCCCTCGACCACTTTGCCATCATGAATTGTCCTTTAGAACCTAGAGTACAAAACGATGAAAGTTTCTTGAATGTTAACAATGTGCCATTCTTTTAAGAAAAAAAAGTCATGTTAAAAACACAAAACTTTAAAATAATTACAGCTAAAAACAAAGGGGAATTCGTCGCAAGGTTTCAAGCGTATAATCAATCTATATTTTTTGTGAAATGAGTTATAACAAACATGCGAAATTAATTTTTCTACCAGACAAGACTTCCCTATATGTTGACATTTCTGCAACTATTTGCAAATAACTGACAATCGTCCTTACCAAATACTCTCCCTATGGTATGATCTTCTGTTGGGAGACCTTTATTCATACCGACCATCAGCCACTTGAAACTGTCTGGCATGTCCGCAGTGACGGTGTAATCGCACATGGCTCCATCGAATGTACATGGAGCTCCAAACCCTGGGGATAAAGATAATTTTGGAATCAATACAAAAATTAGGGAAACATTTTCCATGTTGTATGGTATATTTCAAATGACGTAGTTAAATCTTCTCATACATCAAATAACATTTACAGTATAATGAACTTTACCAAGAAAGCACCTATATAGCTAATTGTCTTTTTGCCATTTGAAATATAAGTATAAATATAAGACCATCTCACCTTTTACCGCAGGAGTTGTCGCTGTCGATGAAGTGATACGCTGCACCGTAGTGGATTTAGTAGATGATGGAGTCAGTGTTGGCGGGGTGGTAGATGTTGAAAAAGTACCAGTTACTAAACCTAGTACGAGACAAGATGTGTTTGTACGCGTATACTAGATAAGATTGACACTATTTGATTTCCAATCTTTATTAACTGGAAACAATGAAGGCTGAAATGCATATAAATAAACTATTAGTAAACTCAATAATATAATAAATGGAAAAATATGAAATACACAACAAAGAACTAGATTATGAAATACTTATATATGTAAATAAATGAAAGTCACCTCAGGTATAAAAAGTCCTGCACACCTCCTATCAGGGTGAAGTCCAGTGTCTGAATGATTCCCTATATAGGCCTACACAGTGTGCATATAGAGAATGACATGTTCTCCAGGTAAGTACTGATGCAACATAGCCTTTGGCTACATCTAATATCTGACTAAGTACTTTTGGTAAGCAATTATCTTTGAATGAAAACTACAGTATGCTCATTATCCTCTATATACATCTGTAGCTAAACCATCAAGCATAAGTATTTTAACTCAATTCATGTTATGTACGGTGAAGGGTGTATAAAGAAGCCTGGGGATTAAATCACAGTGACTACATCCTTTTGAACGGGAGAAAGCCACATCATGTGCTATAAGCTTAGGAGTAAAATATTAATTGTACCTTTGCATGGAGGAATGGCACAATTGCAGCCACTGAAAGAAACGTCGTCAATGGATACCACCTTGGAAAAGGAAAACAAATAGTTGGTTCCCAGTTGAGCTTGAATCATTACCTAAAAAGAAATGTAAGACACCATTCAAGAAAAAGTCTACATACATGTACGATGTTGGCTTGCCTTATTAAGAGAATTCCATATTGCAAAATGCAAGTGATATTTTTCAAAGACATTGTTAGTCAAAATAATTGGAAGATGTTTTGAGCATAAATAATCCAAGTTTTACATGCCTGGAAGTCCCCTTTGTTAGAAAGAGAACTGATATCAATGGATCCACTACTTGTCCAAGATGGCGCCATGCCTTTATTGACCCACATCTGGTTTTTCTGATTTGTTGATAGCGTTTTTACAAAAACTGTTAGTGTTATTTGGTCGGTGTTTAAGTAATAATAAAACTCCATGCTACACGAAGTACTTGTTTGTGAAATAACCGGTGATAATATGGTTGCTTTCTGGCCGTTAGCTTTACCACTTGTCCATTTGGCTGTGAGAAATTCTCCCTTTGACCCTATGTGAGACAAATATATTGAGTCAAACATTAAACGTGATTTATAAATCAATGAAGGCGGTGTAGTGTATGAAACAAGATATATTTTTGACAGCAGTTTAAGACGTAGGATAACTTTACAAGCATTTACAAATCCACTATTACGAGACACAAACGACTTAACAGTATATGGCGAATTTTATTATATAGTCACGAGCTGCAATTCCTTGGAACACGTAATATAAGCTTTTTGGAGATTTCTTGGTCCCCAGAGCACCTGTTTAAACCATTCTTACGACATCATTTTGCAATTGTTATGACAAAATGTTGGTATCTATAGCTTTTAAGCACTTCTTTTGAGGTGCACCCGAGATTGTATAACAATCACGCAGTGATATAAGCAAAACACAGTTGTCAGTCTACTTGTAAGTCAATGCAAACGTACTTAGTCAACTCTAAAGACCTCTTGTCAAAGATTACTGGTTAATAACTTCCTTCGGATTTACTCAAAGTGGCTTCTATGGAATTAATTCTCATTTTCTATTAAATTACCCAGTCTTTCAGGACGATATAAATCGTGTCATCGTTTTGAGATGCACGCGAGATTGTATAACTTTCACGCAGTGATATAAGCAAAACACACTTGTCAGTCTACATGTTATTCTCAGTGCAAACGGTATTAATCAAATCTAAAGACCTCTTGTCAAAGATTGCTAGTTAATGACTTCTTTCGGATTTATTTCAAGTGGCCTTTGTTGAATTTATTACCCCCTCAAGAAAGACTTCTAAGGATTTCAGGTCACATGTATCACGCAGTTATATAAGAAAAAAACATGCTGTAAATGTCAGTCTCAGTGCAAAAGTGCTAAGTCAACTCTAAAGACCTGCCAAAGATTGTTTATAATGACTTCTCATTTTCTATTAAATAACCCTGTCATTCAGGATGATATATATATCGTGTCATCGTTGTTACTTTCACTTTGTCCCAGTGACATAATTCTCCGTCAGTTTATACATTTATTATTTTTAATTCTTTATTGCTTATTACAAAAGTTTTGGGTTTATAAAGTTATCATATAGGCATGAACTTACGTTTTCAGGAACGCTAAACGCATAGTGTACTTGAGTTTGCTGTATTTCAAATTTCAATTTTAGAGAGCCAGAAAATTTTTTTCATATATTAAACCGAGCAGGATAACTACAACGTAAAAATGAATTATTTTTTCAATGGTAATTTTTTCTTCTGGGGGTTAAATCTGTGGGACGAGTCCATGTTTTTCAACATAACCAATGCAAGTTGAGGTTTGTACATCAAGGAATTAAGGAATTACATTTGAAACATATGTGATACCCCCCCCCCCAAACGTTGAAAACAGAAATTTTACACTGCTTGGGTGGAGAACCTGCTTAAGCAATTTAGTTATGATAATTAATGTTTTTTTTTTTTGTAACGTTTACCAGATGTTCGACAATTATCATGTACATATATGTCATTTGCAAAGATAAGATTACAATTTTTTTAAAAAAATTTGAAGCAGACTTCATACTCTGCCATGACAAAAAAAATGTTGATTTGCTTGACAAAAATATCATCAAATGACAAATAATTCTTAATCAAATACAAAAAGAGTAAAAAAAACACCAAATCACAATTTTCTATGAAAGTAAGATGCCCCCAACCTTATGATGCAAAAAGTATTCAACGCGTAAAACCCATATTTTTCATTATTCAAAAATCATACCAAATATATGACCATTTGTGTGTTCTTCGGTAGGAAATCCTTTGTTATTTCCTATCTTCTGCCATTTAAATCTATCTTCATCGGAAGTCAAAGAATAACCACACAGGCTGCCATCAAAGTTGCACGGTGACCCATAATCTGTAAAGAGTTGGCATGGTGTTATTCGTTGTAAACAAGGACAGGAGATAATAAATTATATCAATCAGTAAACTAGGAGCATTTGATATTATGGTTTGTGCACAGGACTGCATAAGTGTGTCATTGGTTCGATTTTTTTTGTCCAAGTAATGTTAATGTTTAACACACATGTCTAAAAAAAACACCTTAAATCAAGTTGCTCATTTCATTCCCTGGAGTTATCATTAAAATCTGTCTGTGCGTCCGTATCCATTTAAATGCTCAGGGTGAGATACCGAGATAAAGATTAAATCTCATGATCCATCAGCGTCCACGGACCCGACTTTACATATAAATCGGTCGCTGTAAAATAATTTTAGTCCAAATTATCCCACCTCTTTCCGAGTGTCTCTTGACGTCTTATGCATTAATTATGATATTATATTTCATTTAAGATCTAAATCAATTTAAAATGTTCAGTAAAATTTGCATAAAACAAGTACTTAAGAAAACATTATCAAAATATGTAAAAATTCTAAAAATGATAACTTTTTTTAAAAGATTAAGATTCTAGATATCGGTCCACAGCCTAACGCTTACATTAAACCAATTACAATTAAGATAATCATTTAAAAAAAGCTTAATTCTCATATGCTATTACCAACCTAAGCCTAAACTGAAAAAATAAGAGTCTCGGGCTTCAGTTGACTTCACAGATAGAAAGCTATGAGGATATGAGATAAAAACAGGTTTATTATTGCTATAAATATGATTCTCTAGACAATCGGGACTGGAAGATTCCTTAAGTACTGATTCGGCCTTAAGAAAAATAGCGTTAACCGCATGATAATTAATTTTTTTCATTTTTTATAGATAACGGATGTTCCAGATTCTGATTCATTTCAAACATAATTCAGCAGAAGCGAAGATACATGTATTTGAAAAAAATACTAAGGAAAAATAAAGAAAGCTAATCAATCTTTAATAATAATCGAAAATAAGTGTATTACCCGAAAGAGAAGTTGGCATCGAGGTAGTAATTTTCATCGAAGTTGTCGTACTAGATGTGGTGGAAGGCGTGGTCGTAGTTTTAAGAGTTGTTGATGAGGTTGGATTAACAGGGCCTGCGCCATTGCCTAGGGAAACAACAACAGGATGATGAAATGCAAATGAACTGTACTGGACTAGAGAGCTACAAGTAATGTGTAATAGCATTATAAGCATATGCACTTTTATTTTCCAAAATAAAAATCGAAAATGTCCCGCTAAGGATGACCAATTCCATGTATTGACGTGTTCTGTTAAATCAAATCAATTTGATTCAAGACGTTCTTCTTCTAAAGCAGACACAATACAGCTTCATATTCACATCTACTACTCTACATCTGTCCATTTAAAGTATTATACGGTGGGTATATTTCAAAGAAAGAAAACGTACCACAGCCAGTGAATGTTACATCGTCGATGGATACGACCTTACTAAAAGCATAACCAGGCTTTATTTGGGCTTGAATCAGAACCTGAATAGTGAATAGAAATATGTATAAAACTACTCGTATACAACAGTACATAAAACCGGAATGTATGGATTTTTAAGTCGCATTAACTACATCAGGATCATGAAGATCAACATGTTTTCTGTCCTGAAAGTAAGGGATACCGAAAAATGAAGAAAGTCTTGATAAACAATAAAAATACTAGTCTGAAACTGATATCCTTGTTAGCACAAACCTGAAAGTCCCCTAAGTTGGAGAAAGAAGAGATATCAATCGGTCCACTGTATGTCCAACCATCACCTTTTACTTGGTGGGCCCATATTTGTTTTGTCTGTTGCGTTGATACTGTTTTCACGTGTGCGGTTAATGATATTTGGTCACTGTTCATGTAATAATAAAATCCTATACTGCAAGGAGCATTTGTCTGAGGAATACGTGGTGATGTTATAATTGATTTCTGGTTTCCAGCAGTACCACTTCTCCACTTGACTGTAAGGAACTGTCCGTTAGAACCTTTAATACAAAAACAAAAATATTGTACACAAAACGAATTGGAGAAAAAATTACTCTTACAAGTCAGCGTTTTAATTCAGTGGTGTTTCACAATAGCCAGGGCAGCTATCAAAGGGTATCAAAACATTTCCATCGTACTATTACACGCACACACGCGCACGCACGCATGAATTCACAGAATAAATACCTTTTGTGCCAATTGTGTGATCTTCAGTTGGTAATCCCTTATTTTTGCCAATCTGTTGCCATTTAAATCTATCTTCATCTGCAGACAACGAGTACCCACATAAGGATCCATCAAAATTACATGTAGTTCCATTACCTGAAAATAAAAGAACGGTCTCACGTCGATTGAAGCTATATGGTTTGTGTTAGAATGCTATTCGGAGGGGTGAGAAATATCATCCGTTTGGAATAAAATAGGCCTATAACCTCTGTACGAACTGAGCATTTCAGATCTTAATCATTTTATGTGTATGGTTGGGTGTGGGCGGACCTTGAAGAATCCCACTGTATTGCCTTAAATATAAAATATGTGATTGTTAACACGCGTTTATAAAACAGATGTAGAAAACATTACAGTTTTAAAAATGTGTAATAAACGTTAAGGTGATACATATTCATCTTTTGGCAATTAAAGACAGAGGAGCAATGCTTGTTCCACATGTACTGCATCTCCACAATCATAGGTTCAGATGGATATCCGACATAGAGCACAATTAACAAACAGACGCACTGACAACAGACAGATACTCGAGTGGACGGCAAGGGCGAGGCTGAAGGAGTGACCGGTTCGACTGCTAACTCACATAATTTACGTCAGAGAATTTTAACCGTAGATGACTATAACACAATTAGCTATGGGGATATTAAAATATGAAACACACAGAAGAGAACGAAACCAACTAATCTCTTCGATCAGTCTAAATCTTGCAGTCAAAAATCGTCCCCAATAGTGCTGAAACTTACCAAGAGCGTTTTTTGCACAGAAAAGCACCACCGCAACGCTTATTAGCAGCGTGTTAATCATCTTGGTCCCCATTATTCTCCCTCGCGCAGTCTCTGTCAGACCGGAACAGAGGGGAGTGGTGGCCTGCTGAAGTGTCCCAGTTAAGACACAACAAGAGGTGGCACGGGGAGCCCGCTTCTCAGCTATCTCAGCAGTACATATTTGATTTTGTTGACCTTCACGATAGAGAGGCGGGATTGTGTAAGATTTCCTAACTGGATTCAAATATAGTTTTTCATGAGATGTCATATAGTGTTTTGTTTTAAATTAATTAGCGATATAATTTCAGAGAGGGCGAATCTGACGGGAGATTATGGAAAACGTGTTATTTCAACACTTATGTTTAATCCCTAAAAGGAACTTTGCTTGCTTCTTTAAATCTGGGGGCTAGCTGGTTTGTCAATTATTAATATAAAGTAAGCATCAATGCACTGCAAAAGATCAAACCTACACATCGTCTCAGTAAATAATGGGAACTGCAACCTTGAGGGATATTGTAACTAAGGCCCTTTAAATCCAGCCAGTATTGAACATCAGCGTTTGATATGATATGTTTTTTCAACAAAAGTTATTGCCACTCATTATGTCAGGGTCTCGCAAAACATCATCAAATTGAGGCTGTGGTTGTTAGAATAATCTCTACCCAGATGTACAGCTACCGGTAGTGTAGTTTACCTGTGTTGAAAGAAACATTATTATGTAGAACCCATATTTTATAATACACTAAGCCATCATCATAAAGACGGCTACGAAGGAGCGGTTGATACATTCAAGTAACTATACTAAGATTCAAATGCACCAAATAATCTCCTAACCGCATTCATGCTCTAATCTCCATGTCGTTATCTCCAAAGCAGTGCTTGTTGGTGCTAGGTGCTACCACCTAGACACTGTCCTTGCACAATATGATAACGCGTGTGTATAAGGTGATCTTACAATAGGACACTGTGTCATTTACGATAACAGTAGATGTTACACTGTTTTCTGAAAGATTCAGGGGAGGGTAGCCCACCCTCCCCCTTTTCCGATTCAAATACCGGAATCGGCCTTTGGGTGTGTCCCTTACTGAAAGAGAAGCCTTACTGGCCTGAGACCCATAAAAATACTGTTAAATACCTCAAATGTCCATATATTTCCCTAATGTCTCATAACCTGGATCCCCTAGTGTTCTACCAGTCCCCCCAAACCCCCGCGGATAACAGGTGTATGCTTAACATAAAGAGATGACAACTCTTCACTTTGGCGGGAAAAGTGACATAAAACGGATTTTCTGGGGGTAAAGACAATTTACCATACTTTCCAAGGGTTAATGAATCCGGTTCGGCATTCAAAGTGAATCGATTAATTATTTTAAGTGTGCTTAGTGGTAATAACCATTTTAGAGAATATTACGGAATGTTGCCATCTATGAAGGTCCACGTGGTCCATTGGCAAGCGCAGATTCCAGAATGCTTGCGATAGCCGCGGTTTTGGTGGTAAAAATGGAATTTATTATACTTCTATGTATTGTTTATAATGTATTTATCTTGGACTTTTGAATCTTATTTGAAGAGATGTTATCCCTTTAATATACAGTGGTAATGAAGACGCCACGGTACCTTAGTCACTCGAAAGATAATACAATTAATGATCTACATATCACATCTGCTGTATGTAGAACAGTTTAAATGTGTTTTGTTATTTTTTTCTGTATATTTGCAAGTCGATCCCGTTTCTTAGCAATTTGTAAATTCTTCATTTTTGTCGATGTGTGGTTTATGGTTAATTTCTTGTTCTTTGGAGCTGACACACCAGATTAATAGCACAACAAAATAACCCACGCCAAACGAGAAATAGCAGTTGCGTGATTTGAAGCGCTTGTCATGGCTTCGCCACGTGTCTAAACATCATCGACCACGTGCTATACAGGTATGTTTCATTCTCTCTCTCTCTCTCTCTATATATATATATAAATTTTCCAGGCATCTATTATTTTGTTTCTTTTACTAATTTTTTACATTCTGTCTCAAACCAATATCAGCACCAGCATGTCAAACACTATAATGTACAGCTTGTTCAGCAATCGATCTTATCGTATTCAGTAGGAAATATAAGGTTGATCTTAGTGAAGATGTCACGGCAGTTTCTAGATAAGGTGAGGGCGTGGGTTCCGGGAAGCAGAATATATGTAAATGATTAAGTATTTTGAGACATGAAGGACAATGACCATGATCACTTGGTATGATATTAATAATAAAGAGAAGTGTTGGGAAAGTGAATTAAGAATGAAGGGCAGAGGCGTTTTGGAGAGCAAAAAGACAGAAAATGGAACCGAGTGTTTATTTCGTGAGCAGGCCTTGTGAGAAAAGGGAAATGACAAATGAAGTAAAAAGCCAGATGAGCTGTGTGAGTTGTCGGTCGCCAGGAAAGGAAGATTGGAAATAGAATCGGTGGAGGAAAACGGTCGCCAATGTTTGGAGATGAGGCGTCGCATGATGATGGAGCACTTAGAACTCTGCAGCTTTTCAGCTTTCATTCTTTAAGAAATAAAGAAATAAAAAAAAAAGAAAAGAAAGAACGGAATGGTCTTTATTATTCATATTTACATATAATCTCCCCTTCGCCTAAAGCTGAAATGGTCTCTTGCAATGTGTTAGGTGAGAGCCAATACTAAATGATACTATTTTCACTTCTTTTCCTCGCACAGTCGTATATTCCATTGCGTGAACGCATTCGCTGTCACAACTCCATCGGCTCCAATAAGATAACGGTCTAAAGCACTTGTGGATCCATAATTTGAGTAAAGGGAAAGGGGGCAGAGTCAATAGCAAATGGAACACAGCTGACGGGGGCTCCTTCTAGGACACAGGGAATTAAAATTGCCCAGTTTGGCGTTGTGTCTTGAGGGAAAAAGGGGGTGCCTGGGAAAGATGGGGCGGGGGCAGCTAGTCCACTGTAACCTCTCCCCTTCATCTACATGTACCTTTACCTTGTTATAGATCTACGTCCCGACCGTGTTGTTCTCCCGGTGGTATAACTATTAAAGATGAATTTTACTTTGGTGATTATAAATATTTTGGAAGGGGGTTTACTAGTTAGAAGTACATGTTTTGATTTATATTTACAGTCATCATAGGCAATTTCTAAAGTATTTCAACTAAGAAACTCTTTAACATAGTATTACTTGGTTAAGACCAATTGTATTCATTATAGCCATTTCAGAATATATCCCTGGGTTCTTTTAGAGTGTCAGCTTTCAGAACTTCAGATTGGTTGCATGGAGATCTTTGGAAAAATTATAATTGACTATTACCCTAAGCCCCTTTTATGTCCAGGCACTTAAATTAAGACATAAGATGCGAGAGTTTTATGATTGCATCATTTACTCTCATTCTCCATTCTTCGTTATTGTTCACTACGAATACAATGCAATACAATGCAATATAATTAATTTTTATTGGGGAATTTTGTTCTTCATTTTATTGACACTTTATTTTGTTTTATTTATTAATCAATAATTTATTTATTTATCCATTGAAATTCTACATGTATGTAGATAAAGACTGAGAAGATAAAAAGACACCAAGGTCTGCCGTCGGATTAGGACCCTCATTAAAATCTGTCTGTGCGTCCGTATCCATTTAAATGCTCAGGGTGAGATACCGAGATAAAGATTAAATCTCATGATCCATCAGCGTCCACGGACCCGACTTTACTTATAAATCAGTCGCTGTAAAATAATTTTCCACGGGACCAGTGTTATTGCTCGTAATTTGCGAAAGGCGTCATCATAAATACACTAAGCATTGGGTAGTTTACTTAATTCTCTAATAGTTGAACCGTACTTAAGTAAGTTTACAGAATCATTTGGAAATTTTTGTAAGAAAATCGCTGAAAAAACAAAAAAGGCATAAGTCCATTGGTAAAGGGTAATCGGCGATTTCTGAGACCCCATTCCCATAGATTTTAGATCGATCTATCCCTGTGGGGAGTCTCACTATATTACTGTCAGCTTAGCCGGCTTAAGCGTCTGTCCCGCCTACTAAAAGCTGTAAGGGGGTAATTAACTATGGTGTGCGCTCGGCTGACTGCAATTTAGCGTGAACCCCCAGGGAGTTAGGTCGATCTAAATCTAAATCTCTTGGAATGCACCCTTAGAGGGCCGTGTGGATCACTTCAAATTTCATTGGCTGGACCTTGATGGCGAAATCATCAGTATGGTTGGAGGGAAGAAGGAGCCGGAAGTCTATAAACTCATTGTTCCAAATTTTTTGTTTTAGTTTGGGTGAAATTAAAGCTCATAAAGGAATGTCGTCGGTTAAATCTAAAGGTAGAGCTAAAGTAACATGACTCTCACCTGTGAAAACATCGTCAACCAGACTGCTGATACTGGGTATCTGCTGTTGAACTTCTCGTGCAGAAAGTAGTCGGGGGAAGGAGAAGCGCTCGGCATCTCTGTGTTTGAAGCAGTTTGATGAGCAATTATACGCTGTGCCAACAAATCGTAGTCGATAACAGGTGAAGTGGAGGTTGATTTTGTCTCAGAAGAAAGTGCGGTGGTGTGTCTGGGCTTCTTGCCACCAGTAACAGTGATGCAGTAGCCGATCGTCTCTAGTTGGATAATGAGTGCGCATTGGAGACACCCGACGTTCTGGACCGCCTACTCCTCCCGAGAGTGGTCTTGGGAGGCACGGTAACTTAAAGACAAAGGAAACAAATAAGACCACACAAAGGCAGCTGAATGTACATATAACACAATTTAGTAATAATTTTTTTTGGGCAAGGTAATTCAAGTAATTAAACGGAATAAGAGATGTGAATAAAAATATACACTTTTAATGAGAACATATACACCCGGCATAGACCCTACGAATAGCCTGGGTGGATATGCTACGAGCCATATTAATATTAAAAGTGTAAAAACATCTCCTAGTCCGCCGCCAGAGAAAATCTATGCAGGCAACAGCCTACGCTTAGCCGTGCACGTAAAACACAGGGATATCTGGTAAAACTGACAAGGCAAACACAAACAGCTGGGTGACTCCCCAGGATAGGAGCATAACAAATCCTCAAAATATAAACCTAGTATACCAGATAGCATCACAGGGTTCTCACTACTAGGCAAACAGGTAAACA